TTTACATATACGCTAACCAAATGTTGTTTCTAGAGCAGCAACAGTAATGTTTACGTGTGTGTGTGTGTGTGTGTGTGTTACAAAGAATCTGTCAGTACTAAAATACTACCTGCTAGCAAATAGCATTTGTCTGTTTAAATTGATAAATAATCTAGTAGTTACTTAATTCCTTAAATTCTGTCCCTCCCCTGTCACTTCAGGTGTGCCCCAGGGCTCTGTCCTGGGGCTGTTACTTTTCATCATTTATCTCCTTCCCCTGGGCAATATCTTCCGCAAATTTAATATTGAATTCCACTGTTATGCTGATGGCACCCAGCTCTACCTCTCGACCAAACCATCGTCCTCTCTCCCACCTCCCCCACTGACTGTATCTTGGAAATAAAAACCTGGTTTACCAATAATTTCCTCAAATTAAACAGTGATAAAACCGAGGTCCTCCTCATTGGAACTAAATCCACTTTATCCAAAACCGACAGCTTTTCACTTACTATTGACAATTCCTCCGTTTCACCTTCCCCCCAGGTTAAGAGTCTGGGAGTCATCCTTGACAGCACTTTATCTTTTCAGTCCCACATCAATAACCTTACCCGGTCTGCCTACTTCCATCTACGAAACCTCAATCGCCTCCACCCCTCCCTTACCCCCCACACTGCCGCTATTCTTGTTCACAGTCTTGTCACTTCCGTTTGGACTACTGCAACTCTCTCCTTTTCGGCCTCCCTCACAAATACCTTCATAAACTGGTCCAGAATTCAGCTGCCCGCATTATAACGCGAACACCCTCCATCCACCACATCACTCCTGTTCTCCAACAGCTTCACTTGCTCCCGGTCCTGTCCCATATCCAATTCAAAGTCCTTCTGTTAACATTCAAGGCCATCCACAACCTTGCCCCTCCGTATTTGTCTGATCTCCTGCAGGGTCCAACTTCCACCCGCTCCCTTAGACCCTCTTCCTCCATACACCTGTCTGTCCCCCCTGCTCGTCTCACCATAATGGGGAGCAGAGCATTCAGGCGCTCTGCCCCCCGTCTCTGGAACTCTACCTCATTTGATGTAAATTCTTTGTTTTTAGCTTGTTTTAATGTTCTTAGTTTTGCTGCTTTTAAATGTCTTTGCTTCCCTGTACGGTGTCCTTGAGTGCCAAGAAAGGCGCCTTAAATAAAATGTATTATTATTATTATTATTAATTCCTTGTTTTACTTGGCATTACTAAACTAATTAAATGGCAGCATGGTCATTTTGGCTAACAATGTCTGATATAGGTGTCGATCCTGATCACCCAACATGCACAATTTAGAAAATGACCTGATAATTGCACTGGGCTATCATAAAAACCTCTAACTGTCTTCTTAATTATCTTAATGACTTGCGGTGAGAGTGGTGAGAGCCTCCAGTCAGCCTCCTCAGGGAGAGACGAGACCAGAGACTGAGTGGTCCTCAGCTGAGGGTGGACAGATGCAGGACTGAGAGATTGAGTGGTTTGATGGGAGGATCGGCTTTCACCTCCTGTCTGCGAGGTCCTCTTGTCCCCACTGGATGGACCTGAGGGACGCTTAAAATCTGTTTTTTGACCATAGAGCAGAGAGATGTGTCTTTGTAAGCTGTCATCCGGCTTTAAATACAAGTTGGCTGGAAAGATAAAGAATAGGATTTTTTCAATTACTTTTCCATTCATTAGAAACATCAGTAGAGTAAAGATGAGTTTGTATCTCAGGTTAGAAATCTTACTTTAAAATGACTAAAGTTTCAGAATAAGAAGGCTCTGGCAAATGTTTTAACACAGACAAGATGGTAATGGTTTTACTTTTTGCGATCATTCCTAACAGCATCATGAATAATCTATTGTTCAATCTATGAAGTGAATTTCGGTGAGAAAACTCTTATAATTGTTCAGGTCAGTTTTTATCCGTCTGGCTGCTTGTATTCCAGCAAGCACAATGATTCTATTATCCTATTTAAGGGTGTTTGTATCGCAATAATTACCACATGACTTCAACACCATGCACAAACACAATCTTTTCATGTTCCCTTAACACTATGCTTCAACCTACATGTGACTGTGTGCACAGTTACGTTGATGTTCTCTGCGGTTTTCCCCTTTGAGCACATGTTGAAGTCTCCCAGATGTTCTTGAATACATTGCTTTATAACAGCTGAGCAGCCCCAAAATGATTACACGTGCTGTCCAGGGAAATGTATAACAGACAGCTGTGTAACTGTCCTGTCATACCATGCGCTCATATAAACACACACACACACACACGCACACACACACACAGTTACTCAAATGCCCAGTTGGAGAGTGAGAATCAGACCCAGATGTGAAAGAAACAAAATGAAAGTTGCAGCTCCACCCTCCTCTCCCCTGAGAAGTGGTGGCTATTTGAAAGTTCCTACATTTATGTTTACAGAATGAATACTAAATTTTTTTTAATCCGTCCAATAGTTGCCTCATTAGACTAAATTCCCTCAAAACCACAAATGTCAACCTGCTGGTGGCGCTAGAAGAAAAGTCAGGGGATCACTAAAGTCATTTCCATTTATGCTCTGGGGACGATGAATATGTGCGTCAAATTTAACGGAAATCCAGAGAAGTCTTTGAGCTAGAGTCCAAGTCAAGTCTCAAGTCTTTGAGCTAGAGACCAAGTCAAGTCTCAAGTCTTTGAGCTAGAGACCAAGTCAAGTCTCAAGTCTTTGAGCTAGAGACCAAGTCAAGTCTCAAGTCTCTGAGCAAGAGTTCAAGTCAAGTCTCAAGGCTCTTGTGGTTATAATGAATGTTATATCACCTGCTGCGTTCATTCCAGGCTGCTTATGGGGGGGGGGGGGGGGGGTCTTATTTCACCATTTTAATTAGATGGCTAATGCTGAGCTAAACCTCATCTGACGTTTCATTGTTCACGGGACCTCGAGTCCGAGTCAAGTCTGAAGTCTTTTGAGGACGAGTCTCAAGTAGAGTCTGAATTCACTGTGTGTGCAACTTAAGTCGGATTCGAGTCTGAGTCTCAAACTCAAGTCCCCATCTCTGTAGAAATCCATCCAATAGTTGTCGAGACATTTCACTAAAAAACAAAAATGTCAATGCAAAGTGAGTAGGATTCATCAGCTAGGGACCTTGAAACAAAATTTCAATTCATTTTGGACTGGACCAAAGTTGACTAACTGACAGACAGACAGCCATCACTAGAGCAACTTAAATCCAGATGTTTTAAAATATAAACTTAACTTCTGATGGGAGGTGTTTGTTTTCTTTCTGTCTAATGCAAACTTTATGCATAGATTTCCAATGAAATCATCGAGGGCTTGCAGTAAATTTGACATGTCGGAATTCGTTATCATATGATTCATTGGGAAATTCCCACTCTACAAAACAAATAAGCAATACACTGTGTCAGTGTAAGGACTCCCTCAGTGATCTGGAGTCAGCAGGGGAGCCCTGGAACCCATGATGAGGAGGAACAAGACGACATTGTTTCCAGAAATTAATTGCCAGATCAAACAGCCTCACTGGTCCATGAACTACTCCGGGTGCCCTGAACCCCTTAGAATAAAAGCACTGGAGTGTTTGTCCATTGTGAGAGTCAGAGTAGTACCCTCTGGGCATTGTAGCTGACTGGTCAGTCATATCCAGTCGATTTGCACCATCTACCATGCAACATGGCATGAATTCAGTCATGCTGTGTTGTGGAAAAGAGCAACTGTTTACTCAGTCATTTACTTGATGAGAACAGGGGGAAAATGTATTCACCAGCATTGCATTTGGATTATTTAAAGGGAAATATTTCTTAACAATAACCCATCATAGCAATGAGTGGTATCACAGCAGTTTATGGAAAAAGTGTTTCTTTGGCCACTGTGTTTGTGCAGAGCAGTGAGGTCTGATGAGAGAGGGTGGTTTCCATGGAGCAGCGCTGCATGTGAGCCTCCTCAATCCTCCTGAGAGACAGCGATGTGGAATATCTTAAAAACATGATTACACTCATATGTTAGCAAAAAAACGTGCCTGGAAAGCAATGTGACTGGTTTTTCATTTTAACACAGTTGTGTGTGTACACGTGTCTTTCTCAGATTTTGAGAATATTTCCAAAGGTGGTTTTGGGTGTGTTACTTGCTTACACTGGCAAATGTTGTCACTTGCTCAGTCTGCTTAAGTGAAGTCACCCATTTGGCTGATACACCTTTTGGATTTTAAGCAAGTTTTTTTTTTTTTTTTTTTTTTCAAGCAGTAGACTAAAACTACCATCATCAAACTATTATTTTTTGTTAGTTTTCATTAACATCCCATTAAGAACATTACCCTTTAATATTTATATATTGTTGATATTATATGACAAAAAAAGAGTTGTCCGTTTATCCAGCATACTGCAGATTTTAGCATATGATTTATCCAGCTTAAAATCTGGATATGATATCCCAAGGAAGCTCAGACAGGATCAAGAGATAATCTGGATGCTCCAGTTGTTGCATTGTGTGGGATTTTGACAGTGATCATAATCTATGCTATGGTTTCTAATTACATATCTTAATGCGTATCCATTCACATTAATGACACTTCCTCAAATATCACAAATCATACCTCATACTAGAGTGTATTGAACAGGGAGGGGGAGGGGGAGGGGTAGAACAAAGGAATCAGAAGAGATGGTGGGAAAACATGGTTTGGTAGAGGAAAATGGTGCCTCGTTTGAAAAACCACAGATGATCATTTCTCATCGCTCTCTTGCATTTCACATATTCTGCTGAGACACAGCAAAGCATCTTTAAATGAAGGGAAAAACGAAGAAGGAGGGAGGATGGGAAGGAAGTCGGAGGCGAGGGGGAGGCAGCAGAAAACAGGGGGAGGAGGGAGCGTGGTTGCGTCTGCCGTCGCTGTCATTCCGCTGCTGCGCGGTTCAGCGGCAGGAGGGTGTGCTGAAGGGAGGAGTGTGGAAAAAACGGAGGAAAGGAGGACGGGAGGGAAGGAGGAGAGAAAGGGAGTGCCTGGGCAGCACTGCAACAGCTGCAGCTGCAGCAGCCTGTCAGGACGAAATAGGGAGAGAAGGAGACAGAGGGGAGAAAGAACGCTGCAGGATTGCCTAAGAGGGAGCATTTTTATTTATGTTTTTGCACAAGGAAAAAGGTCTGATAAGGAAGCCTATTTTCTCCCTTGCTGATGCTTTTCTATATGGTCTCATGCAGGAGGCATGCTTGGAAATAGTGTGAAAAGCAGAGGAGATTTGAAGATGGAAAGGACGGATAGCACAAAGGCATACGGCCAAGCAGATGGCAAAGGAGTTGGAATGGCAGCTAAGAGGGCCAAGTCTGGAGTGCCCCAGAGCACACAGCGGGGTGAACTGAAGGTTTACCGGGCGGGTAGCTCTGATGGCAGGCTACCAGTGCCTTCCAATCTTCGCAAGCAGAGGTCTATGACAAACCTGGCTATACTCACTGATGCTGAAAAGAAGTTGCACCTTTATGAGCCCAAGTGGTGTGATGACATGACCAAACCTGGAGCAGGGCAAACCAAGATGGGCAAGCCAAAGACAGCAGGGGGTGGCAACAGTGCCGGAGGGGGTGCCCCTCTCTCTCGAAACTTATCCAAATCTGAACACTCACTGTTCCAGGGCAAACCCAAGCCCTTTAGCCCTCTGGCGGCTCCATCTGCTCTGAGCAAGCAGAGCCGCATTCCTCGTGGTCCTTACGCTGAGGTGAAGCCCCTGAGCAAGGCACCTGAGGATGGGAAGTCCGATGACGAGATCCTCTCCACCAAGGCGAAGGGCAATGCTAAGAAGCAGGGAGCCGGAGCTGGAGGGGAGTCCGGTTCCAAAGGCCAGGGGGAGGAAGGGGGAGACAAGCCCTTCCTGAAAGTGGACCCAGAACTGGTGGTGACAGTGCTGGGGGACCTGGAACAGCTGCTCTTCAGTCAGATGTTAGGTGAGTACAGCAGAGCAGTCTCGATACCTCTACTACCACAGGGCCCTTACAGTGTGTGGTCGCCATGTGCTACAAACCAAACGCCCCGCTTGTACAATTTCTCAGTGCTTCTCAAAGACGGCAGCACGCCCCTTTTGATACAGCCACCACACGGCACCTGCTTGCTGCTGCAGACCCACATTCCCCCTGAATGGATTTTATGCAGCTCAGCAACTGAGGGGGGAAAAAACGAAGGCATCCTTCTTGTGCTTGCAAAGCATGCTCCTCCTCTTATTTCAATGAGTGCTGCATCAGTTTGGTATTCTGCTTTATGTGAAAATGCCAAAGCTATTATGATGCTGTATTGTTCTTATTCCTCCAGCATGTCACTCAGGTGTCTGAGGCTTGGTGCCAGTGATTTTGTGAAATGTGCTTGCTTCCTATGATAGCATTGTCAGCTGATTGCATGTAAAAAGCCTGAGGGGTTGGGGATTATTACCAACAGACTGATCGCCTTTCTAAAGCCCTCGTTAGCTGCAACATGTGCCGATGCACTCGAGGGTCCATCCACTGCTCCACGTATGCTTCCAAAAAGGAGGGATGGGAAAGAAGGCATGCCATATTGAATTCATTTTAGGCACACAGACACATATTTAGCCTCCTCCCAGCTCCATTCATCTGTAGAGCATTGACAGATGGTTTACACCCTGTGTACTACAACCATGCAAATGGCAGAGAAAATGGCTTTCTCTCTGGAGGTGTAGGTCAGGTGTATCAATAGGAAGGTCTTGATGAATAATTAAAGGTATTGATCAAATGAAGGTTATTATGATTAGATGAATTTTGTTTTTGTTCATTTCCTTGTAAATCAAACATGCCTCCTTATTTAATTGTGGGTGTACCAAGTATGTAATTATGACCTGTATTTCAGTCACATGACATGAGACAGTGTCTTTATCTTTGAAGGCTTTTCAATTCAGCTTTACCCAAAATGAGATGCATTATAATTCAACTTGCAAAGATATAACATGACCCTCTTTAATGTAAAAAACTTACATTTTTAACCTCAGTGTTTTGATGTCTGACACTTTTGATAAAAAGTTTTCCAATTTAAAGAACTGGAATTCCTAAAATCCTGTCATTGACAAATCAGGTTCAAGTGTGTCATATACCAAAAAGCATTTAATTTATTATTCAATTATTTATTATTCCATTGCTCCAATATAATCATGACAGCATGTTCTCTGTTGCATCTTAATGAACACGTCTGTGGTGATTTAATCTGTTCTCCATGCCTCGTTAGCCTATATGGACATCTGTCACTCATGTTAGTCACACTTAAAGTCCACTAAGAACTGTAAACAATAACACAGATACCATGAATGGATGGCATGGCATGGCTAGCAGCATTGTGTGCGAAGCCCCAATCAATTGCTCTGTATTTGTATAGTGTCTTTCTAGTCTTTGTGACCACTCAAAGCGCTTTTACACTACATCGCATTCATACACTGAGCCTAAGTGCTCAAACGGAAACTAACATTCACAAACATTCATCGGGAGCAATTCAGGGTTCATTACCTGGCCAAGGACGCTTCAACATGCAGGCTGGAGGAGCCAGGGATTGAACCGCCAATATTCCGATTAACGGGTAAACCTGCTCTACGTCCTGAGCTGCCCATAACTTGTTCAAAATTTCAAATAGCTCTATGCATCTTTCACCACACCCACGTCTGATTGATTGTTTGTTTGATTTGGAAACATCATGGAGGTTGATGCTTCGAGCTGTTAAACATAGTCTCCACAATGTAACGCATCAACCTCCATGATGTTTCCAAATCAATTTAAAGTCATTATTTCTCAGAAAGGGAGTTTATTATCTTTATGAATTATTTAACATCATTTAAGATAATAATCCCATGTGGGCCTTTGACATGAGTCAAGTGCATTGTACCCATGAAAGAAACGGCTACCAAAATGGAAGCAGAACATGGGGATGAAAAGGCGAGAAACTATTGCACACTGATTGAGTTTAACTGCTGAGCAAGATGGAGAAAAATTTCTTAAAATACAGTAATATGAATGTTTTGCATTCATGGTAGCATTATCTAAACACTGTTTTCTGCACATTAGACTGGAACTTTTTCCCCCATGTCCCTACTGTACATGTACAGTGGGCATGTTTGTTAATGTAAAATAGTCTTTATTCATAGTCTACAGTATATTTAAGGCCAGCTTAATGCTGTGCTCTGCTTCTCATTATAAGCTGACTGAAAGGATGCTTTTATTTCTGACCATAGAGGGTCTCTTTGTTTACCAATATAACATCAAGAATGGTGAACTTAGTTAACAGGCTCATTTATTAAACTTACTATCTAAGTGTATGCACCATGGTCTGTCATACAATACTGGAACATTGCATACCACAGCCTCATCGCAAGACGAGGCTGAAGATGCGCAACAAAATATAAAAACTTCCATCCAGATTTAGATCAGATTGAATTTTCATGCTTTTTTTTTTTGTGGTTTATTAACCTTATGAAATACTTGCAACCTCTGTTTAACTCAGGTATTCTTCCTCTTCACACAGAGAAACTGGGTTTGCACTGTCTGCTGTTTGATGAATGAAAATAGACAAATCAGTTGCTTGAAATTATTTGCAAATGATGAATGTACTATGACAAATAGAGTTCAGGTCAGTAGGACAATAGATATATATTCATGAAGAAAGCAGAAGATCAGAGTAGCACGGACAGCAGTACTCTGGAAGAAACTCTGTTCTAGACAACAAGGGGTTGAGCAAACCTCATCTAACTGTAATTATATGTGATCTGTCATGCAAGATCCGAAATGTAGCAATAGCCTACAGCTATGTAGAATCATAGAGGAGCAGTGAAATAGGTACTGGATATGGGCGAAGCAACGGTCACGGATGGCATTATTTCAAGCTATGCAAGGGTCGCAAAATGTTGAGATTTTTAAACCAGAAAACATGCTCATGGTCAAGTGATATATCTGATGTACTGAATACCGCAGTCGAACTGGCAGGCAGACTTGGAGAAGAAAAAAAAAAACATGTAAAAAATGGTGAGTTGGGGGTACCATTAAATGGGAGTCCCCCGTCTTTATTTTGGGCAAGGTGACAGTTTTATTCACAAGGTCTTTGATGCTGCCAGTTTGAACAAAACTGTTGGTCAAAGCTACAACATGACTGAATGTTCATATTTTCAGCCTATATTGAACAATAAAGCAATGGAATTGTGGCCTAAGAATCACATTCAAGCTGTCATCTGTAAACTTAACTACTGCGTGTGATAGCCATTCACTATGAGCTCTCTATGTGGCGCTCAAAAAAAGTGATTGCCCACTTCTCCCTCTTTCTGACATCGCTGTGAGTGTGTTTCTTTTTCTTTTTTTCTTTTCCCATGGGTATTCACTGTATCACAAGCATGTTTTGAGAAACTCTGAAAAGCACTAGGTCCACTCGAGTCTCTTCTGGTGTTGTGCAACATCTCTTTTTTTTTTTTCTGTCAAGTGCCTCTGATTTCTTGTGAAGTCTGATCAAGTGAAACAGGTTTTGAAATGAACTGTAAAGGTAGTTCAAGACTGTTTGTCATCTCACCTATTGTCTTGTTTGTTTCTGAAAATTTTAATAGAAATTATACTAATGTCTCAATTAACTGGTGCAACACGTAAGACCTTTAATGCTGACTTAGCAGTGTTTGCCAGGTTAATAGCAAAGGGCCTTAACACAATTTTAGAATGAATTTTTCCGTACTTTAGTCTGCCTCTGCACTGTCAACTTCCTGTGTTGCATCATTCATAGGTCTTTCCCGATTCACATCTGCTTCAGTATTCTGACCGAGTTTTCCCTCTGTGTTGTAGACATCACTGCAATGCAGGGTGCCAGAGGACTGTCAGTCACTGCATGGGAACACAGTGCATATTGCATACAGTATATACTTAAAACAGATGTGATTGACATGTGTGCTCAGTGTCCAGGATTCCTGCTTGAGCATATTCTCAGGAATTCATCACAAAGTAAATTAGCAGTATTCCAGAATTAGGATGGGGTTAGTTAGGTTTGTGGACGTGATGTGACCAAAAGATTTATTCCTAGACTCACTCAATCTTTATTCTTTATTTCAAGAGACCACAATGGAAATAAGTATTAGACTTTGTACTGTGTAAGCCTTGACATTAGTGGATATTGTTCTACAATATGTCTCCCTTATCATAATGTCAACTGAATTAAATGAAATACCCCTTTGGGATCACAGTAAGCTTTTGCATACATATGAAGTAAAGTTAATGCCACAAAAATTACACTTCCTATTAACATAATAAGGAGTTAGTTTATGTTCACTGACAACATATTTAATTTGTTTTCTGCCAGAATATTCAATGTTGCAAAACAATTTCTGATTGTAGCAATATTCAACTTTGTTTAGGCACTCACAGCGCTTGTTAATGAAAGATAATAGTTTCAGCTCAGTACAGAAAGAAGTCTTGAATACTTTAAGCATGAGAAGTGAGCTAAATTCTTTTACTGACTGAGTGTAACATGTGAACCTCTGACTACTGGAACCTGGTGAAAATTAATGCTTTAAATGTTGCTGACAAATCTCCAAAATTGCCTCCAGTTTATTAAATGGTGCACTGTTATCACTGTCCATGACAATGTCATTCACATTTTATAGATGCAAAATGAACAAACATGCAACATGCTAGGGAGTGATGCAGCAACATGATGATGATTCAATAGGTTTATTGCTACAGAGTAAAATATTAAGTCTCTATGGTGAATAGTGAATGAGGGAGTGATTTTGGACACAGCCATTGACTTCAACTGATGATTCGACTTAACTCATTATAGAGAGAGAAGTTTCTATCAATATAAGATTAACTCAATATCTTATTCTTTCTAGCTCACATAGTCATAAATTACAGTGCTTGTCAATATTGTACAGACACAATACACAGGAAAAACCATATTGCTTTATACTGAACGTATCGTATTCCAGAAAACGATTTATTGGTTTTTCACTGAGCCCGTAGATGCATGATGTATTTGGGTTCCATGCTATTGAAACCTGCTAATGAAACCAGTTAATTTATCAATAGTTACATAATAACAATAATATCTATAATGAACAAGCTCTTCATTTTATTGCATATTTGGAACCCATATTGTGGGCTTTGAATGTGTGAACTGTATGTAAATGTTTGTGTTTGATATTAATGCTTACCTTCCCCAGCCGCTATACACCCTGCGGAATTAGTTCAACATCCCCTTATGAGAGCAGCACATTCTTATTTGACGTGTGTTACCCTTACATCCTTGCCTATCCTCCAGCTATTCCAGTTAATGCATTGAATGTTAATTTCTTTCTCCCCAGGGTTTTTTTTTTCCTCCACTGCAGTGGAAAGCCTCCAACTTCTTGTGTTTTTGAGACAAGGACGTTTCTCCCATTTGTTACAGCTAATACGACAACACTCCCAGTTCAGCTTACCACTTCAACTGAACTGAGATAATGCTTTATACAACAAAATAAAGAAGCTCTGGAAATAAATAAATCGGCACCTTGAAACAGATCCTGGTGTGGCATGAATGTCAGAATACAGTACATCCCCCTGGTGGGTAATCCAAGTTACAGGCACAACTTCAGTGTTTTATTTTCAGGATGTACCATGTCGATGAACATATGTTTTTCTATGTGCTTAAAAGGAAGACACCTGTCACATCAGTCCAGACACAAATAATGCATGTGGAGTCAAAAATGTGTGTGAGTGTGTGCATGTGTGATTTCTCTTAAAATCCAAGCTCTGACCAAAATAAAACAGCAGCTTAGTTTTTTTTTGACACACTAAATGTTTTATAACCTCTTGCTCTGCATGACTGACCCACAGACCCTGAATCCCAGAGGAAACGGACTGTGCAGAATGTCCTTGACCTCCGCCAGAATTTGGAGGATACAATGTCGAGTCTGCGGGGCTCCCAGCTTAGTCATAGGTAAGTGCACTATACCTGCATTTAAAAATTTTGTTTCATAATGGTGTCTGCAACGCCACTGGCTAATATCACATTCAGTCCAAAAACGGTGTATGTTTGCTCATAAAATCATAAAACCCTGAGCCGAATTCGGTCTTTGGTTTAAACTGAAAAGAAACAACCTCATGTGAACAACCAATGGATGACTTGTTGGATCGATACATAACACATGTGTAAACAGTTGTGCTGAGGCTGCTTGGAGAGTTGCCACCTGGTCCACATCTGGCTTCCATTCTTCTTAAATAGCCCAGCTCTGTTTCATGGTCATGACTTAATTATAGGAATCTATCTGTTTGGCTGTCATAGGCAAAAGGCCCCAGCATTAATTTGTTACAACAACCACAACACAAGACACTGGTGGAGGACAGGCCTTTATTTCATTTGGACATTAAAGTTGGGAAGTAATATCTTGTGTAAAATGAAGGCAAGCAGGAATACCACTCTGCTTATATCTCTTAAAACCTGTGGTAATGAGTATTTTTATTTTAACACAGAATCATTTTTCTGTGTAATTTGAAAGGGTCACTCCGTGCAGATATTATTGAAAATTATAACCCAATTTGTCAGCTCTATAAAGCTTTTAAGCCTTTTTTTCACTCATTATTATGATTTTATACCACCACAGTAACAGTGTGGGTGATCCTAAGCTGCTCTCATTAACCCATGAACCTGTCCAGTATCAAGTGGCTGATAGAGGTACTCATTAGCTGTTAAAGAAAGTTTAGAAAGCGAAAGACCCAAAATCATAACTAAGGCCAGTAAAATACTAAACTTAGGGTATAATGCAAGACTTTAAATACTAATGTTGCTCTCTGCTGGTTGCTAACACATTAGCCATAACAACTTTAGAAGCTAGTGTGAAATGGTGGTTATGTATCGCTGAGTCTGTTTCCTAGTGGTCAGAAATAAATTAAAGCAGCATTTAAGTCTTCTGTTTCCATGTAAATGCTGTGCCTACGAGAGCCAATTTTCAATTTCAATTAATCACAGATATTTTCTTATCAGCAAATATGTCCACCAATAATTTCAACACAGAATGCCAAAGATATGTTTGAGTTATAGGCTTACATTTTTTCTTCAACTTGGTCACTGTAACTAAAGATAATGAGATATCACTATGAGACTTTTTTTATCTCTTAAATATTGACATTGGTATCAGCCACAAAAATCCATCTGACTACACAGCCTCTATGAAACATATACATGTTTTGATTGTTTCATTGAGAATATGAAATGGGCTTCGGGCTATTTCAGACAAAAATGACTGACCAAACAGCTGTGTTTTAAACAAGCTATCATATCGATCAGTCAGTTTCAGGACTGGCACCAGTTAGCCTCCATTGATGAATTATCCATCAACAATGGATAAAAATACTTCCATGGTCAGAGCCATTGCAATATTTATTTGGGTGAGTTGGTACATGTAGTTATGTAAGCGGCAGACACAGAGGATGCTCAGAGCCATTTGGAGGACATTTCTAACCATGACCCACTTACAGGACTGAATAGGAAAACTTCGATATACTCTGTACAGAATAATTGAAAGAGGTGTACTGTCTTTACAACAACATTTTTTGGGTGTGATATGCAAAGCAAAGTCCTTGGTGTATGTTTATGTATTGCTCAGAGAGAGACAGAGAGAGAAACTCTTATCATATACACAGGGATATCAAGTTATCCCTCTCTTTGTCTTTTGGTTTGGTGAGGCCACATTTCCAGCTTTAGTCCCAGAAGATGATATGACACAACTGCTGTATCTGGGTCAGCAGCAACTCAATGCCACTGTAGGTTTCTTTGAAGGACTTCAGAAAAGGGTTTTTTACTCTGGTCTCATCCTTTGCACCGTTGTTGGTATACTGATTATGTGTGTCGTTCTGGACAAGACTGTCAGCTAAATGCCTCAAGTAGATAAATGTAACACACGCTGACCCTTCCCCCGTGTGTCTCTCTAGCTGTGTGGACAGCAGTAATGTGGGCTATGACAGTGATGAGACGAATGCTCGCAGCATATCCAGCATGTCCAACCGCTCATCACCTCTCTCCTGGCGCCATGGCCAGTCCAGCCCTCGTCTTCAAGCGGGCGACGCCCCATCCTCCACTGGTGGCGGATACCAGGGGACTAAGACAGGCTCACAGTATACTGCACATACAATGCCAGCTCGCTGCTCCAGCCGCCTCAGCAGCACGTCTCGCATTGAGCTCATCGAAGGGTTGGACGTCGATGACACCGACCTCAAGTCTGGTTACCTGAGTGACAGTGACCTTCTAGGAAAGAGCCTGCCGGATGATGACGACGACAACCTGGCGAATGGGTGAGAGCAAGCGTGGGTTTTAACTTCTTGGTACCATGACAACACAAACCAATCAGTGATTGCAGACAGTTGCATGCTGATTTATTCTTTAGGCCTCCACCTTGTGACTTTGAAAAAGTCAGATAGTTGTTGCAGTAAAATTGCATTTCACTCACAGTAAGCATTAAGCTGACTGGTGTCCTACTTGCTGGTCTTTGCTTAATTTCAGTATTTAATTAGGATGCGTAGAATATGCACATTTTAATATTCAACAGTGGTACAGAAAATTTCATGAAGGAAAATCTTTCAAGCTGGCGCATGGCTTTCTGCTTTGTGTTGGAATCTGATGTTTTTGCACTTCTTGTCTTAGCTTTCATCAGCAGTCTCTGCTGTTTCAGTGTTTTCTTCCTCTTTTTTTCACACTGACACTGTCAAAGGCTGTTTTTGCTTTCAGATGTTTTTCACTGAGGAGAGAATTTGAAAACTCTTCAGGTGTCCTCTTGGTTATGCAATGATTGCCCCTCCCCTCTGACTGATGTAAACTGTTCAGCTTCTGAATGTTGTGAAGATTGAACTGGTATAGAAGCTTCAAATAGTTAAGATCACATGTGACAATACTTTTAACAGGAAGACTTCTTCTTCTCCTGCTTCTCTTTCTTCTGTTTCCCCATCTTCCTCACCTTCACCCTTGCTTCCACTCACATCTTTTGTGTGGTTTTATCTAATTCCATCTACCAAGTTGACAGCTGACAGTGAGAGTCAGAGAGAGGGAGAGAAAGAATCCAGGACAGTTCTCTAATGTGGTTTAGCAGCTTTATCGCTGTTGCACATGCACTGGGATTTAAACTCTGGAGAGCTCGCTAGGCCCTGCTTGCCAGGTCACGTTCTTACTACAGAGTGCAATAAGGAGAAGAAAAGAGATGAGACACATTTTAAAGGAGTGAAATTAGAGCAAAGAAGAAAAAGTGTGAAACGGAAATGGGTCGATGGTTCTGCAAAAATTTGGAGCTGCAGTGAATCAGAACAGCACGATAAGAGTGATGCTAAGAATTAAATGAAAAAGAAGCATTGTGTTAAAATATACAACTACCACCATGTGTAAGGGTTTGGCATTTTGTTAGGAGGGAGGTGAAAAAGATCAGACAGCAGAACTTTGATAAGGTTAGGATTAAACGGGGGATTATGTCAAATTCCTCACAGTAATATCCATGCACTCGAAATCCATTTAAATCTGTCCTGTATTTTGTCCCGTCCATCGCTGCATCAGCTCTACTGTGGTCAAATTTATGTGAGAGGTGAGCGTGGGGACTCGCCTCTGCTTTGCAACACCACAGGCACCAAAGATGATAATCATTTTATGTAACCATTTTTAAAAATGCCTCATCATGCTCAGTGTTAAGCCACCAATGTCCACGGTCCTTAAAAACATTTTCAAGGTGACTGTATGACGCCCTGATGGCTACAACCCATCCCCACAGTAGATTATTACTTTTTACACTACAATTATTGTGTGTGTGTGTGTTAGAATACATACATGCTATGTCTCTTCGAATGTATTACCAGAGTATTAATAGGCTATTGTTATATTATATGGAAATGCTGGGTGTTATAGTAGGCGTAGGTTGCATGCTGATACTTGGAAAATAGATCACTGGAAACCCCTCTGATTTGTGTGCTTTGCTGGTCTGTGTTTGCATTGGATCAGTGGAAAGTATCCTTGATTCTCCTGCAGGAATACTGAAAAGCTGATTGTGCTGTTCTGTTTATCAAGACTTAACCCTGCTTCATAAATATCCTGACAACCTTTGGTGTAGATAACTAGCTAATCCAGTTTTGAAACAGGCGCAGCATCACATGCTCTAATTTTCTTCTTACAATATCCTCTTGCAAATTCTGTGACACATTTGCATTTCTACTGTAGCCTACATCCCTTGTCACACACTCACAGTTCATGGAGAGCCATTAGCTACCAGCTCTTGAAAATAGATCAGGCTCCTCCTGCGTAACCATGGAAACCAGCTGGTAATCGACTGTATGGAGAGGTGCAATTTCTTTCACTAAAGGTTACATTATAAGACACAATGCATGTTGTTTGTCAACAGATTCGAACTAATGGTGAATGGATATTGATTAACCCACGTAAGACAGTACTGGCTGTGTTCAAACTGACAGTAATCACTGCTACTGTGTGTCTGCCTCATCAATAATCTGAGACCACATAATCCTGATGTCCTCATGAGCTCCATCTTTCCATCAGAAAGGGATAGTGACTTCTGTACAACAACACACAGCTTTAACAGCTGTTAAGGTAAAACGTAAGGAAGAAGCCTGTTGTATTAATCATTTATTTAGCATTCCTGTACTTCTTTTTTTTATCCAGTTACTTGATGAACATAAATACAATATTTGGTTTGCTTGTCACCAACTCTTGTTTGGATCTTTAATCTTGCTAGATATTCCACTTTCCGCTAGTCACCTTTGTCTATCTGCACTTTGAATCAAGATAGGCAGTAGTTTATAAGAGCTTGTTTGCTGAAAACGGCTGGGTGCTACTAGAATTTGCATTGATTAGAGAGGCTCCTGCAGACCATAAACAATAAGCTAAAGGAGGCTAAAAAACTCTGCAGTTTAAGAGTTCTTAAGGTGTTTCAATACAAGCTAATACTATCACATTGCACGCCATCATTTCATTTAGTGTTAATGCAAAAAATATTAAGTAGTGGTAGGGCTGTAGCTAATGATGATTTTAGTACTTGAAGCTTCTACAGATTATTTAATCGAAGCATCATTTAAGAAGTACTTTTGCTTGACGGTGGCACCCCCCCACCCCCAAGAATTTGCATCGATGCTTTTTAGGAATTGAACTAATCGATTTAATCAATGAATTGTTTCAGCCCTAATTAATGGCGCTTTTAGAAATCCTACTTCAGCTGTTTGGATGATAATTATGGTAGATTTTGATGGTTTTCTTTGTGGTTGTATATTATATTGAGGTTTGAATTATTGGTCTACTTCATTCATAACAAAATACAATCCAGTACAACAACACTACAAAGTACAGTTTCAAATATTAAATCACTGCCTCTCTACACAAAGGAATTATTTGTTATTAAAGGTCTGTTGTTTTAGATTGCATTATGTACAGTGGTTTCTATTTTTCTAATCATTCAGTACACATCTTCACACTGTTCTTAACTCAGGTAATGAAATACAGAGAACGGTTTACTTTTAGTTTCTGAAACTGGCATAATTATCTTGTACAGTGTACTATTTGAAGTATACATACATACATCTCGTCCTCAGTAGACACTGTGTCTTGTTGTGTGACTGTGTTTCAGGAGTGTTGAGATGGTTTCTTATTTAGTCCTGACCACGTCAAGAATCATAACCGTTTCCTGTGGTTACATTCTTCACACCATACTGGCAAAGTTTAATCATCACTCATATGATATCATCCTATTGCAAGCCATATTTAAATAGCTGGTTTACGAGTAGAGCAGTAATCACATTATATTGCTGGTGTATGGTTGATTTTTCCATATCTGGTATATAAATTATGACTACTATTCAGCACTCTGTGTCATTTTAGTGGTGTTCAGTCAATTATAGTTGATGTTTTGTAGGCACTCAGCTGTAGTGTATGTAAGCACAGGTTAGCTCTTCATGTCTAATACAGATGTTCACCAGGAACATTACTTGTTTTTTCCATAATGTTATTTAGTTGATGGGTTTAGCCTAATGTTTGTAACAGAACATGTGAATTTCACAGGCCTGAACCTGATTATTGTATCTGACAGATTTACGTTTTATCTTGGCAGATTAACAGTTTCAAAACCTTCAATTGGAAGATCTCACTGAAAAAAGGCAAATATCTTTCAGCATTTGGTTTGACTCCAAACTCTATGGCTGACTGCAGTGAAAGGCTCTTAGCTGCAATAAAGAGCTATTAATGACTGTAGTGCCTCATAGGATGTCCCGCCTCACTTTTCAGCTTTTGTTCCACAACATGTTTTTGTTTCTTTCACCCTGTCATAAAACCTGAAATATTAAGACTTATACTTACATGTAATAATTGAAAAAGATTATCCATCAAATGTCAGCTCTTCATAGAAACTAAATAGTTGGCAATTAGGTAGGGTCAATATTAATTCACTTCTAAATCACTAGACTTCTAAAACTGTTTGGTTGCTTCATTCCTCTTGCCATAGCTTCAGTGCTAGTCGAAGTGTGTGCAGTAGCCAAGCTTAGAACTACTGCTGCTAAGCAGTTAGTCGTGGCACAACAAGCTGTAAACAAATAGACGTACTGTAAGTTGACATGGCAAACAGTTGCAGGTTTACACATCCAGCAGACACAACACCATCAGCTAACGACATTAGCATTCATTTAGAGTCATGTTTCTTGCCTTGTGATGGTTTGGTTTCTACTCACTCCTGAGGTAAATATTCAGCTCCATTATCTGCTCAATGCTCCTGTTCACCAGCTAGTCGTAAATATGTACTGTATGTGCGCTGTTTGGTGGTGGGCAGTGAGTTCTATTTCACTGGAAACAGCTGCTGAACCAAAACAGTAAAGTTGTGGGCTATAAAACCAAAACAGTTACCTGAAAGACCATAAGATGCTCTATAGAGCTGAGGGGAAGAGGTGCAAAAGAACTGTAGATAACAGGAATTTGAAAAATGAATAAACAGGGAAGTATACATGAAGTATATTATACCCTCGACCCTCTTATATGATATATAATTATTTTGTTTTAATGTAGAATTGTTGTATAGATATGATATAGACTGTATCTTTGAAAACACATCTCTTTTCCAATAAAGTACAGATTAATTCCATTTTTGTTGTATTTTATAAGATTAGATGACTTTTTCATCTGGTACATTTTATATTTTCATTTCATTATTATATTAGTATTTAGATTTCATGACGGCACCATATGCTGTTCAAAGCCTCACCCACAAAAACAAAGCAAGTCACGGTTTCATCGTAACTGATTCATATTGATTACATATTCTTGA